GCAGCCGAGATGGGGGAGGTGTCAGACCATGGGGACCCCTGTGCGACAAACTAGAGATGCAATGGGAGCCACTGAAGGACTCGATGAAGAGATTCACTGAAGAGACTGGATGCAGGCGTTAGAAAGATCACTAGTGTCATGGCTGAGTCTAGACGTCCCCCAGAGCCTCATGTGGTCACTGGTGGGGATTTCTCAGAGGTGGCTGGATCTAGAGTGCGATGCTGGGATCGATTCATGGTGCAATGCCAAGAGCACTAGGATGAAGGGTGTGAGTGCTACCTGCCCTAAGTAGCCTGGATAAGACACATGGGATAGAAAGAGCTGTAGTCATCCCTTGTTGATTTGCTACCTTCTGCCTGCCACAAATTTTTCTTCTCTGATGCTGGTCTGCCATGCTACCCTGCCATGGAGCCAGCCAACTATGGACTGAAACCTCTACAAACTGTGAGCCAAATAAGTCTTTCTCCTTTAATGTTGGGTGTTGGGTATTTTGTCTCAGCAAGAACAAAAGCAACTAAAACAACTAGTATAGAAAATAATGGAAACTAAGCTTTGTTTATTAAGTGCTTATTATGTTTCAGCCATAGTTCTGAGGGCTTTACGTGGCTTGGATTTGAACCAAGAATAGATATTCCTAACCATCATGCTATGGTGCTTGGACTGGAGGCACAGATGTTGACGAACTGTTGAAGGAATTCAGGTGAAAAATAACATGGCAAGGCTGTGATATTTGGTAGTGAAGCAGGCGTAAGAGGTGAAGAGTGGTGTCTCAGGCTGTGGAGACCAGTGGACGTGGGCAGTGAAAGAGTGGGAGAAGGGGCGATCTTGCCCAAACCAGTGTGAACGGTGGTGCCACTCACTGAGAAGAGGAATAGGATAACATTTTGATAAATAAAGTTGTGAGCTCTTTCATTTCTTCTTTTTCACTATCCCCATACAATTTTTATAGAGAAAGGCATCCACTCTCAGACAGCAACAATGCTTGCAAATTGCTCTATTTAAACTCTCTATGAGCGGCAGGATGCAGAGTTCATTAGGGAATGCAATTTCCCATTTGTGGATAGTTTCAGTATTGGAATAGGCTGAATTTGATGCAATAATAAACATATCTTGTGAATACCAGAGGTAGGATTTTCAATATTTTCTCTGCCCGAGAAAGAGACTGTTTTCAAATAGAGGGGTTATTAAGTTCATTACTAATGGTGTTATTTTTGGCCGTATACTTTAAGAACAGAATAGTTGTCATGCAGGAGACTTCTGTCCTTGCCAAAACAGGCCAGTGATGAGAACATGGTATCCAGGGCAACCAAGAGTTCAGATGTCTCGGTCCATAAATAATCATTCCTCTGCTTGCCCTTCATAATGCTGGTCTCCAAGCTGCTTCACAACAGAATGAGCTCCATCAGGAGGCCACTGTTCTCTTACTTGTGGCTTAAATGACTGCTGAGGAATATTTTATAAGAAAGGCAGTGTTTCAGCTCCATGACAAACTGCAGTAGCAAAAATCTGCAACTGACTCTTATGATCTTGGCTCTGGCTAAAAGGATACTCAGAAGCCAGAGTAAGGAGAAGACAGGTATGTATTCAGGTGTTCTGTGTGCTTGATGGCTGTGTTTCGTGAAAGCACAACTGAGGCACGGGAGACTTGGAGGATGGACAAGGTGGAGCTAACAAGCACTAATTAAGGCGGATATTTCCTTCCCTTTCACATCTGGAAACCAACTAATTCCTCTTCTATTAAAGACTTGCAAGTTCTCTCCAGGGTACAGAAATCGCACCTTTCATGGACCATCTTTAGCACACATTTGACAGCTACGTTATAATATAATATGAAGAAGTTGTCACATCACAGTGGTTAGGGGCTCAGGCTAGGAGTCAGGCCACGCCAAGGGTGAATCACTTCTCCAGAGCCTCAGTATTCTCTCTGGAACAGGAACTCTGTGCTCATCACACAGGGCAGCTGTACAGAGTATGTAAGGAACACATGTTAGCACTGGGTGCCAGGGCCTCTGAGATTTCTAAGATCTGTAAAGAGGTTGGAGACCTCAAAAAAACTGGCTTAAACATACAAAAAGTAAATTGCAAAATTAATAATTATTTATTAAATACTTGAGACAACATCCACTGTCAACTATACTTCAACTCAGTCTTCACACAGTTATATAAAATGTGAATCAAAGTCATATGATTTGAAATTTTTCTTCAGAAGTTATATAGCAAAAAACTATACTTATTGTTGGATGAAAGGATATTTTAATGTTGGATATGATGTTGAATGTGGGTTTTTTTTTAATGATTTTTATTTATTTATTTATTTTTTGGTATTGGGGATCAAACTCAGGACCTTGAGCTTGTGAGGCAGGTGGCGGCACCACTGAGCTAAATCCCCGGCCTGAATGTGGTTTTATATGTAAGTGTTCTTTGACTTATGAAGATTTTAAAATGGCTCTAGGTGCTTAGGAAAATGGTAGCCCTAATTACTGTTATTATAGCAATAACTATTCTATTATTCTGCCTTAAGGTGTTTCCTGTGAGGTACTGGAGTGTCCTATTGATACTTAGGCTTTGTTTTCTTTATTTAAGCCAGCCACAGAGCCTTGAGGACAATACTTAGAGAGTGGACTGAGCTAAAACACTGGCTTCCACTCTGGGACCCGTCACCTGAAGAACAGGAAGATTAAGACCTGCTTCAGCCAGTCTGCTGGGCCCCATGAGGGAGGGCCACGCTGAAGGCGCCCCAGCTGTGTAGACGTGCGGGAACAGAAGCCCGTAAGACATCCACAGCCTGCCAAGGCCTCTCATTCACAAGGCGGACTCAAAAGCTACCCAGAGGCATCTATAAGAGGTTTTCTGGCCTCTCATCATCTGAGCGATACTTAGTAGGTAGATCTATAGTCTTTTCCCTTTTGATCATTCATTCAATAAATATTTATTTAACAGATAGTGAGCCTCTTCTGTGGGCAGACTACACTCACCGTTTATAGGAAAATTAATTTTTGTCTCTCGATGTACAGTTTTATACATCACCGCTATGGCTTTGAACCTGAAGTCCATGTGTTACCAGTGTAACCGCCAAAGCAACAGTGTCGCAAGGCGGGACCCTTGAGGACTGTCAGGTCCCTGAGGCTCTGCCTTCCGGAAGGAGTAACCCACTTCTGCGGGAGTGGATCAGCTACCATGGGAACACGTGGCTTACGGAAGGGTTCATCAGCCCCTCCCACCAGCTCTGCTGCCTCTCTCTCTTGCTCTGTTGCCCTCTGTGCTGTCATGGGATGACGCAGAGAGCCAGCCCTTAAAAGATGCAGGCTTCTTGACCTTGGCCTTCCCAGCCTCCAGCACTGTAAGACATAAATCTGTTCTTTGTGTTGTTTATAAATCACCTAGTCTCCTGTGTTCTGTTATAGCAGCACAAAATGGACCAAGACAATCGAGTATCACACACACATTTTCTAAGAGTAAATAAGACAATTTAAGAAAAGACAATGGTATCTCCTAATTTCCTGTCTGAAAGCACTGTTTCCGAATAAGCCATGACCATCTCCTGTGGGGAGTGTTCTCATTTTGATGCTAGTTTTCCCAAAGCCGCTCCTTGGATGTGAAGGCCATGGGATGAATGCACGGTGCAGAACTCACGCGTGGCAGGCAGGAGTTCCAGGTGGTTGTGTCGTCGCTGCTGCTGCTTATGCTGACGTTGCAGTTGTCCACCTGGGACGCACTCAGGCCGTAGGGAGCCCCGGGATCCTCCAACTCTTCCTTCTGTTGCCGCCGTAGGCTTGCTAACATCTGCAACTCAGACTCACTCATTCCGCTGGGTTGATAATTTCTCCAGTTGTACTCCTGACCGAGAGAGCAAGAAATAACAGAACAAAGGGTCACTTGGCCTTAATTTTATGGGGGTCCCCAAAAATGCTACCTCACAGCCTTAATGCCCATGATGGCTCCCTGCTGACAGAGGCCTAAATCCTTCCCACATCTCGTGAGATGTCGACTCTGCCTTCCTCATCTCGTCTTCAGCCTTGGACAGCTCGGCTACACGGCCTTGGCTGAGGCTCTCAGAAGCACCAAGCTCATGCCTGTGTACATGCTAGGGCCCTCTGCTTCCCACTGGGCTGGCTGCTCGGCCTCCTTTAGGCTCTCTACGCTATGTCTCTTCCTCAAGGAGGCCTTTTCTGACAGCTACAGGTTGAGTCAGCTCCTCTATCATGTGCTCTCATACAACTCAAAAAGTTTCACTTCTAGCATTCGTCACAGTTTAAGTTTTGCAGCTATGTAACTGTCCATAGACTACGAAGCTGGCAATGGGGAGCGTCATGACTGTCTTAGTCCCACTGGTGACTAGTAGGTGCTCAACCAGTATATGTGGATTGAATAAATAAAAATTGGAAGCAGTTTTCTTTGGGGAAGGGGTACTGGGGATTGAACCCAGAGCTTTTGTAACCTCTCCAGTCCTTCATAAAATTGTTTATTTGGAGGCAAGATCTCAAGTTGGGCTTGAACTTGCCTTCTGCCTTCTTCTGCCTCCCAGAGTACTGGGATTATCAGTATTATCAGTGGTGAAGCAATTTTTAAAAAAGAAAACCATCTTACCACAAACAAGCCAGGTTTTTACTGGGATTGATGAATTTTATCGTTGTTGAGCAATACCACCAAATATATTCAAATCACAGTAAGACTAAAAATGACTACTATTGTTAAAAGGCACCAAATAAAATCTAAATGCAAGACAGGAACATGTAAGGTGTTACGGTTTCTATCTGGAGGTCCTCCCGAAGCCTTATGCACTCAAAGGCGGGGCTTTGGGGAAGTGACTGGACGGGGGGTGGGGGGTGGGCGGGGGTGACACTTATCAGTGGATGAGCCCACCGATGAGGTCATGGCTGAGTGTGATGCTGGGAGGTGAAGCCCCGCTGGAGGAGGTGGTCACCGGGGCGGGGCCCGGAAGGGTCTGTCTCCGCCCCCCCCCTTTGATCTCTCTGCTTCCTGTCGCCATACCGTGAGCGGTTTCTCCTCTGCAATGCCCCTCTGCCATGCCGCCCTGCTTTGGAGCCAGTTGATTTGGGGCTGAATCCTCTACAAACTGTGAGCTAAAACAATCCTTTCCTCCATTAATTTGCAGATGTCGGATACTGTGTCTCAGGGACAAGAAAGTAACTAAGACATAAGGGCTAAAAGTCAGAAAGGCCTCACAGCTACAATATACATTTACACAGATGTGGATTATACTATAGATACAATCGAGACTACGAGAAGTTAATGTAACTATTATTTCAATATACAGAAATTGGCATATGAAAATTTCAAAACTTTTAATTTTCTTTCTTTCGGGCCTAAACTAGGTTTGAGAGCAAGCATTAGTTTCAACATTGCTTAACTATCAGCATCATATGTGAGTGGAGTGATTTATATCCAGAACTCACACATAACTTAAAAGCAATTTTGAAATTTTCTTGTACATCTGGAAATACTGGTTGTACTACAAAACATTTTTTCCAAGACACACTCAAATTTTTAGATATTCAAATATCCATACTTCCTATCTTCAAAGTTCCTATTGGTGCTTTTTCTCTCTCTTTTTTTTTTTGCCTCACAGGGGTATAAAAAGTTAAAAAAATAATTTTGAAAATATTTGTTAGTTCTGTCATTTAGTGCTTTTTAAACAAAGCATCACCATCATCATAATCTGAGGCTTTTAAGAGCTTACTATCTAATAATGTGATGTGGAGACTTTCTGGAAAGTTGCGAGTGGAAACTCAGCTACATTCTTATATTCATGGCAGATTGGCACCAGGAGAGGCCAGCAATCTGTAGGAGGATTTATGAGTATTTAAAATGCTTGGACAGAGTTTCTGGGGAAAGAAACAATGTCATAAGAAGAATGAAATTTATATTCCACATAAAAGACAATAAAAAGGAAAGATTAAATTCAAAAGTAGTTGAAGGGACAATAAAAACACGAAAAGATACTCAAAATCTCTGTCATTAGAGAAATGCAACTCAAAACCACAATGAGAGAGGAGAGGCTTCATTTCCATTAGGATAATTATAATAGAAACAGACAATAACAAGTGTTGACAAGCACGTGGAAACACTGGGACCCTTCCACATTGCTGTGTTGGAATGTAAAGCAGGGTAACTGCTTCGGAAAAGTTGGGTAGTTTCTCAAAATGTTAAACATAGAGTCACCGTAGGACTTGGCGGTTCACTTCTAGTCATATACCCAGAGAACTAAAAGTATACATGCACACAAAAACACGTACATGAAGCCAGATGTGGTGGTGCACACCTGTAATCCCAGCACTAGGGAGGTTGAGCCAGGAGGATTCTGCGAATTCAAGGCCAGCTGGGCTACATAGCAAGACCCTGTCTCAAGAAGACCAAACCAAACTAAACAAAACAACATGTACATGAATCTTTCTAGCTGCATTATTTCTAATAGTCAAAAAGTGAAAATAACCAAATGTGCATCAGCTGATGAATAGATTTTTATTTATTCATATTACAGAATATAATTCAGTCATAAAGAGTAATAAAGACTGATACATGTTACAAGTCTAGATGAACTTTGAAAACATAAGCTAAGTAAAAGAAGCCAGGCACAACGGCCACACGTTCTACAAGTCCACTTAGGGGAAAAGGCCACAACAGGCAAAGCCCAGAAGCAGAGAGTGGAGTAGTGGATGACGGGGCTGTAAGGGGGATGGGAAGTGCCTCCTTCCTTTGGGGTAATGAAAGCAATCCGGGATTAGGTCATGGCAATGGGTATAGAATACATCAAAATTCCTGAATTGTCTATTTTAAAAAGGGAAATTTTTATGGTATACGAATTATACCTCAATAAAAAATATAGTTTGGTAATCAGATGTGACAATGAGAATGCCGACCACTGGACTTTGGGTATAACAGTGACAAGTGACTGGCTGCCCTCTGCTTCAGTTTTTCTGTCAAGAAATGAAACTGAACATTCCAGTGTCACAGAGGTATGGTATTTACCTTGGTGTTGCCAATGCACACTTTTAAAATGAAAAATGACGTTTTAAAGTTCACAGTTTTTCTTAATAATCCTTTAATATATATTTAGCTTGATTACTTCATCCATTGAATTTGTTTATTTAATCCACAAGCCTGTATTGTATCTGAACAAACTCTGGGTGCTAAGACAGAAAAATAAGACAGGATGTGCAGGAATGGCAGATCTAAGTCTGGGCCCTCATGCTTCCATTTCCCAGCTGTATGTGATTAGGAAAATTTCCTAACCTCTCTGTGCCTCTGTTTCTTTTTCTGTAAAATGGAGATCACAGCATACATCACAGAATATGTGGTGGGCTAAATCAAATAATACAGTACATATCAGATGTTTAGCAAAGGACTTGAGAAACAGCTATACTAGCAGTATCCAAACTTATGAGTTGAAACTTTTATCAGAACATGCTATGCTGTAGTTTGGATTTTAAGTGTCTCCCAAAGGCTCCTGTGTTAAAGGTGTGGTCCCCAACCCAGGGCATTAGTGGGAGACATGGTGGAACCTGCAAGAGGTGGGGCCTAGTGGGAGGTCTTAGTTCACAGGGGGGTGCCCCGGAGGAAGACTGTGGGACTTCATCTCTTCCTCCTCTTTTGCCCTTTTGCATCGTGGTCCCAAGGTGAACCGTTTTTTGCATGTGTTGCTGTATATGTGCTGCCTTGCTGCATGCCCAAAAGCAATGTGACCGAACGGTCATGGACTGACAGCTCCGAAACTGTAAGTCAAAACAAACCTTTTCTTTTTATAAGCTGATTATCTCAGGTATTTGTTACAGTAATGAAACACCAAATAGTACATGTTGCTTCTAATTACTGTATATGTTTACAAATTAAACTCATGTACAGCTGTATTAATATATGTAATATAAAACGAACACAAAAATAAACATTAAAATGGTTGAGATTAAAAAAATAAATGAAGACAGTTTTTCGATTTTCTTCCTGAATCTGAATGGACTGTCATGGGTACATGCATTCTGGGGTGAAAACATCCCTTCAGGGGACCGCTGATGTGGCAATCAGCACATGTACTGTTATCGTTATTCTTTCCTTACTGTCTCTATCCCCTCTTGCCAGGCTTTTATCCTTCTGTACCATGCCAGGCACCGGGAGCACAAAGAAACAAGGAACACTTCTGTCCTCATGGAGCTCCTGGTCTAGAAAGACAGACATAACAGGAATTAAGGACTATGATGCAGGAGGAATGCGTCCCAGAAGTGACTAACTGTCGGCAGAGTTACAGGTATCCTCCCAGAAGTCTCAGGTGGCGTTGATAGTGCTGAGGGTTGCTGACGATGGAATAAGTGGTCTTCAGGAGGACTCTCTCTGTCACTAGCAGTACTAAAACGCGAACGGTGCAGGGGACCGTAGCTGGCTGGGCTACTGCAGTATCTGCAGTGGTGGAAATCTCATAGATTGAGTCATTAATTTACTCCATAAATACTTACTGAGAACTTATTCCATGCCAGGAACCGTTCAGGCTCTTTGTTTAGAGCTCTATATTTCCATGACTTTATTTCATGCAACAGTAAAATGTATTCTGACAACACCGTGGAGGGGGTAGCCAAAAATGAGCAGAGAAAAGAAAGCAACTTCCTTCAGGGTCACGAACAGAGCAAGGGGTGGCAGAGACAGGTAATTAACTTAGTTCTCTACACATTTTTGATTTGCAATTTCTTAAGCCATTTCAAAATCACCAGAAAGGCTAAATCATTTATTATTATTTTAAAGGAGGCTTGCAATAAAGTCTTCACATTAAAGTGGACTCCAGCAAAAGATGTCATCTAACTAAATTATGCAACTGCTGAGAGGTAAAGTGCCTTATGTAATTGTAACCCTGAAAGGCTCAGGATGTTATGTATAACTCAATTCTTTTTCAAAATATCCTTGTAGGGAAGGCATCATCAATCAGATTTGTTTTAGGAGTGAAGCAATGGGCTGAAGGCTGTACTATTCAGCTGTGTTCAGATTTCTAGGCAGGTCCTTTGCTCACTAAGTCAGAGTCATTCATCAGTCTTTTTCCAGGTATTAGGAGCCAAAGCCAGTGAAGTCGCAAAGATAATTCATACACAGCTCTTGCTTTTATAGGTCCTACAGCCAGCAGGGTAAAGGAGAACTCCAAGGAAATGATTACAGATAAGGTAGTGTCTTAAGTTACTTTTCTCTGTTGCCAAGACAAAATACCTAACACCCCAAATTAAAGGGGGGGAGTTTTATTTAGCACACAGTTTGTAGAGGCTTCAGTCCATAATCGGCTGCTCCAAGGCAGGGTGGGATGGCAAAGAGGCAACAGTTCATGGCGGATCAATGGTAGCAAAGCAACAAGGGTCCTTAACAGCATCTTCCTGTCACTTTTGTCTTATCCAGGCTACTTAGGGCAGGTAGACTCATACCCTTAATCCTAGTGCCCTCAGGCCCAGCACTGCACTATGAATCAATTCCAGTGTCACACACTCTAGATCTAGCCACCTATGAAAAAGCCCATCCTAAAGCTGCATTAGGCTTTGGGGGACATCTAAACACAAGCCATAACAGGTAGCATATGCTGAAGTATAGCAATAATCACATAGAGCCTTGATAATGATTAAAAGGAAAGCAACTCCAGCAAAGAGGAAAAAACTCCACAAAAACAAAAAAACCCTTTCCACTTGATGCCTTGTGCCCAAGCCCAGTTCTCAAGATTTTAAGACAGAATTGCTTAATTGATCAATATCTTCCCATAGAATTTAGTGAGCCTCAGATAAGATGCAGTTTCACTGAACTTCGGGTAAAACAAGGCTAAATTTACAGGGGTGGTGTGGAGAAAAATGTGACCTGGCTATGCGGTAAGATCAACTGGGAGCTTCACCCTGCTGTTTATAGATGGAAAAGGAACAGAACTGGGAGACAACTAGGAATGTTACTCCTATCCTTGAGCTGATAAATCTCTCTGAGACACTGCCTGACTCCCGTGGTATAGGGAGCATTATGGTGCAAAAAGAAATGAAATGAAGTCAGTAATACTGATGCAAAGTCACAGAAATGAAAATATCTATAACAATTTAAACCTTGCAAGACCAAATGGCTTCCTGTCCACATCTTACAAATGTCCAAGGTTCTACCAAAAGACATGTTCTTAATAGTTACCAAATGAAAACTATCCATTTGTCCAATAAAATGGATAAATAAATGATGTTATATTCACATAGTTGAATATTATACAGCAACGAGATGAGCAGTGTGTTATATCTTACCAAACAAAATGCTAAGTGAGAAAAGCTAGGCACAGAAGAACTTACAGTAGTAAAACTAATCTTGGAGATAGTCAGTTGAGAGGGACAGTGACGGGAGGGAGGCCTGGAGATCCCAGCAGGTGGGTGTTGTTCCTTCCCGATTTAGATGATGGTTACTTGGGTCTATTTAGTTTGTGGAAATGCACCAAAGTACATGCTTTTGATATGTGTTCTTACCCATAATCAACAAGAACAAAGAAGTCAGCGGTTCAGAAAGAATTTCTTAGAAAGCAATTGTTAGCCACTGGCAACTCATTCTGGGCAGTCCTAATGAAAAAAATGTAAATTTAGCTGGTGAGTCAGTATCTGTGGTGGTCTAAATTCATGTTTATTATGGAGAAATCTGTAGTTGTAATTAAGAAGTTCTGCAAATGTTTTTTAACCCCTATGTGCTAGCAAGAAAAGTAGAAAGTCGGTTTCTCAAAGTTAATTTTAAACATCCATTACCATTTTAACTTGAGGATTAATTTCCTCTTCTTTGCTCTCTGTAGGCAGTCTATCCCCATGATAACATTTTAAATAATACCTCACGGTAGATTAGGGTTCCAGGGCATCTCTTCACCAGCTGGTACTCCTGAAAATGTGTCTCTGACCCCTGAGCCGTCTCCCTACAGAGTGCTCTGGTTTACAGGGGACAGAGGCCCACTAACAGCACGGATAAGACAGGAGGCACAGGCGTGAGCTGCAAGGGACTCACATGTGTGCACCCAGCTTGTCCACAGCCTGCGGTAGCTTCCAGCAAGTGTCTTCACAAGGCAGAGGAGGACAAGTTAAAACTTGAAGAGAAGCCACGTACAACTTGAAGATCTCTGCAAAATTTAAGGGACGTTACATCACTCACACAGCATAAACCGGGACAGTCCATCTGAGAGGACCAGAAGAGAGAGATTATGCCAGGGAGTCAGTCACAGGCCCGAGGCAGAGCCAGAGCCAGTGCTGCTAAGCGTCTGTCACGAACCTTTGGGGTGTGACCCTTGACAACACTTGATACAACCCACACTTCTTTATCTACTCAGGGGGAGAAGTGTTGGGTGGCCAGACTCAGTGCTAGCAGAATTCCTTATAAAGAGAGAGATAACTTCCATATATGTGGTTCTTCTTTTTGGAGAGGGTGGGCGTGAAGAGAGTTTTTAAAAGACCTTTAAATTGATGTGCTATACTTGCTAATCCATGACCTAAAGAGAAATACATCTCCACACATTCTACCTCGATAGCTTGCTAATTTTCAGAAAGAATTACATGACAAATATAGCTGAACTCTTTCTATTAACATTATAGTGAGGTTTAAAACAAGGTTTAACTTTCCAGCACCTATCTATCTCCAAGTTCAGGGTGCTTCCCCGAACAACAAACTATACCTAACTAAAACTAACAACTAACCATACACTCGAAGGAGTCTGGTAAATCCAAGCTGAGCAGCTCTGACATTACATTCCGGAATCCACCATCTTCAAGGCAACTGTAGCCTCGGGCACAAACAAGGCTAGGGGCCATTCAATAAATGGTCGTTTACAATATTATTTAAAGGTTCAGCTGAGACTGCTTACAGAAATGAAAATAGCAGAGGGAGAAGACAATAACTTTAAGTGAGTTTAAGCTGTTTAGAATGAAAAGCAGTTTGACTGACACAACTGTGACACATAAACTGAATCCTCTGTGGACTTATGCACACCAGAATGCTTTAGGTGCACGCCTGTAGTCCCAGCACCCAGGAGGCTGAGGCAGGAGGATTGCCATGAGTTCGAGGCCAGCCTGAACCGCACAGCGAGACACTGCTTCCAAAACCAAAAAATGCTTAACGTGGCAATCGGAGTTAATTGTTTTAGTGGCCACAGAATCTTTTCAGTGGCCTCTGATTGTGGCGGAGGGTGCACTGGCTTTTCGGGCCCCACATCATAGGTCTGACACTACCTTGTCGCTTAGACGTGAGGAAGGTAGAGCCTGTCTGCTGAGCTGTCTGCCACACAGGAATACTAAAGCCTCTGTGAAGGGGCTGAGACGGGCCCGGAGAGAAAGCATGGAGCACCCTGGAGAGGGCCTGGTACGCGGGAGGCTCCCCGCTCCATTCAAGTCACAGAAAGGGTTCTCAGTCAGACTTCCAACCTCAGTGTTAGGCATGCCCCAGCCTAGTGCCCCCACATAGGAGAACGGCGAGTTTGACTTGACCCTATTTAAACTTGGGAAAAAGGCAAAGACAAGGTTTCACAGGGAGTGTCTGATGAATCAGATGCTAACCTTAGCATTAGAACGCTGGAGAATTGAGAGTGTTTGGCCAAACAATCCATGCATTTGCACTGACTTCTACTTTGGTTAGTCCTTTTCTTTGTCAAGTCCTTTCACCTTCTTGGACTTTCTGAAAACTCGAAATTTCTTCTCTTCATTACAGTAACTGGCACATTTTGTATACCCTGAGCTGCTCAGAAAAGTGATAACAAAATGACCTAATGATCTTACTATTCTGTACTAGCACTCAAAATTTTGGTCATAATTCCATTTGTAATTATATTAGCATGCTTCTAATCTGGACCATTTTGGCTTCCTCTAAAAGCAGATTAAACACTGGATGCAAAGTAAGTCAAAGAAACAGCAGGAGTTTGGACTGAAAACTATTCAAAATGAAGGTAGTGTCAGGAGCAAGTTCCACCTGGGAAGTTTCTGTGCCTAATTCAAATCCTTTCACCGGCAGCACAGCTATTATTTAATCAACAAATTCTGTAGTTTCAGCACTATCTCCCACAGTACATTGACAGATAAAATGAGATCTGACCTTATCTTTTCAGAATAAGGAAAGAGTACACTTTTGATAAAATATCAAGTATCAGTCTGTTTTCCAAAAGCTATTTATTGGTAGGAGTGTCCAATTTAATATACGAAATATTCTTTCCACAGGTAGAGCTATGGGTTATGAAACCCCTACTAGTTCTGCTCAAATTCAGTTCCACCTATCAGCCACGAAGAAAGGCATCTACAATTCTGCTCTCTGAACAAGGCAGGCACACAGAGGCTGGCCTCTGGAATGACCAGAGGTACCGCTTCCTGTTTTGAAACATTTTTAGGGTATCCCTGAGAAAATACCACTTTGTTATCTGGCAGAACAGATACATTAATTCACTATATTAGCACTGGATTCAACTACAGAAAGCAACATGTATGTAAGCATACAGCTACCACATACTGAGCAGTAGCTGTAATTAATTTCTGGAATTTTATAAATTTAAAAAAGTTTCATTTGCTTTGAAATGCAAGGCATACAGGTTTACATTTCTAGCTCCCCAGCAACAGGGGAAGGTGTTCTACATGCACTCTCTCACTTAATACTCAGAACAATCCTATGGAATGAGTATTACTTCCACCAAGTTTACAGAGCAGGTTACTGAGGCTTAAGGAGGTTAGCAAACAAGTCTGGGGTCACATAGGTAAGAAGGAACAAAGCCAGGACTTGAATCCAGGTCTGTCTGACTCTGGCTGGTGCTGAAAGGCAGTATCCATCACCCTTGACCTCTCAGTTTGGAAGGCTAAAAATGCAGACTTGCAGAGGGAGAGCCTTGTTTGGCTATTAGACGGCTCAGGGCAGCGTGAGGACAGTGGGCACCCGTGGTGGAAACTTCCAGGGAGGACGAGCAGCCCCTGAGTGAGCCTGCGCATTATGCCAGGCTGATGGACACATGTCCAATATGCAGGGCAAGCTGACCTTCAACAGGTGTTCTGAAACAATGCAGGATTACTGTAGCCGAAGCAAGATGGGGGTTGGAAAGACATTTATGAGTTCCTTAAACAGTGGGGTATTGTTGGAAAACAGCTGCAAATGGCATACTCGAGTGGCAAACTTAGAGTGAGACAGATGGCTTTCCTTTGAACACAAGAGTATTATATACCCTAGAAAATGCAGAATTTATATAACAGAACAACGCTTTTAAAATTCTCAATTTACAAATTCACTTTCTTTTAAGTTTGTAGAGCACAAATTGCATAGACTTTTATTAAGTTTTAAAAAATATGATGATAGATATTTCCTGCTCCAGTTCTGGGTGCGATTAAATCAGGGAGTCAGTGAAACTAATCCTTTTATATTGCCCAAAATGGCTTGACAATTAAATGAAAAAAACTGGCTCAGATTACACTATGGCTTAAAATATCTTTAAAAGTTTTCTTCTATAATTCAGTTTTGATATTCAAAATAGAGATGTGAAGATTAAAGTCCAAAGTTACGTGATTCATTTTACAATTCTTTCCCTGTAAAAAGTCATGCTTTTTTCCTCCTAAAGAGAATACCTGAATTCGGAAAGGGTAGCTTATCTTGTTTTTCATATGAAAGTAACCATTCTTGAATAGCTCAAACATTTTCTGGAGTTACAAAGTCTGTTCTACAAATCTTTTTGTTGTTTGTTTAAAGATGCACATAGTAGCATTTGCAGGTTTAAAATAACTCATTCACAATTCTTTGAATGCAGTTATACGCGTGGAAAGGTTTAATTACCAGCTATCTACACGGTGGCAATGTTACCCAGAGGGCAGTAGTTCTTTCTTAATTAAAAATATTTGAACTTACTAATAGAGAACTCTATTAAAAGATGAATAAAACATTGCAAAGAGGAGTTTACCGAGCAGTTAGCAAATCAATTTCGGTAAACATGCCTTAAGAATTGCTAATATTTTTCCAAATCAGGGGATTAGAAAGACAGTTCTCCTATACCTCTTTTACTAAAAGCCTTTAATTTTCCTTCGCCATAAACTGCTTCACACCGGCACTTGCGACAGCACAGATTTTCAATAAGATATCCACTTATTGTTCCTAATTGTAGTGCTCTGATGGCTAAGTTTCTCCCGCAGTCTTTCGCAGCCTAGTAAGTGATACTATCGTGTGTCCAGCTGTTCAAGTTCTAAACCCAGGCGTCATCCTCAGTTCTACTCCCTTCCTTCTCCCCATGTCCTGTCAGCCCACCACCCAAATATTCCAGGGTTCCACCACTGCTCTCTATCTCTATCTGGCCATCACTGTAACGCCTCATTCCACTCCTGCCCCGTGGCATCCATTCTTGACACAGCCAGAGGAGACCCGCTGAAAGTAAATCAGGACCACAGATGCCTTTCTCAGAACCTCTCAGACTTGCCCTTCCACTTGGAATAAAGACCACCCTCCTCACTATGAACTTCCCTGACTCACTTGATCTGGGCCCTGTTCATTCCCTCTTACTTTGTCCTCATCCACTTCCCCCTTGACCATCATATGTCCCAGGTACACGAGTCCTCCCTTAATGCCCTAAAGGTGCCCATTTTAGGAGCTTTGTACCTGTTTCTGATGCCTAAAACACTAGCCACCACTTGGTCCAATTTTGCCACTCTTTTATATCACTCTGTATGTTTCTTCCCATACCCTTATCATAGCTTATAAATATTTGATATACTTGTTTGTTTGTTGTCTATATTCCATCAGGTATAAGACCTCGAGGACAGAGGCCTTTTCTCTTAGTGTTGTACCTCTAGCATTTAGGAGAATGTCTGACCTGCTAAGTGCTTGACAGAAGAGGAGATTCCCTTGCTTATACAGAAGCAGAGTATTCTATCACCTGGAGACCCTTTATTTTATAGGTCCAGCTGAGGGGGTACAGACTCCCAATATGTCAGTGCTCCAAATTTGTGGATTCCAATGCTAACCAGCAAAGGAAATTGCAGGCTTGCATTCATATTAATATTAGAAGGACATCTTGTCCCAGGATAATTCTTAAGATCTTGCCTCAAGTCCATTTTCTCTGAGTCATACTAATATTATCCTTCTCAGTCTGTCTAAACTCATTATGTCTGTGTTAGAGTTCAACAGTGGGGCCATGATAGTCAAAGTGCTAAATCTTAACTAGAAGAAAATTTAAAAAAGGGAATAAGGGAAATAAAAGGCATCTACATTGGAAAAGAAGAAATAAAATTATCTTTCTTTACAATTACAGGGTTCCATGAATGGAAAATAAGAGATCCACGAAAAGGAATAAACAAAATCACCAAGGCTTCAAGCTAAAAAATCAATATATAAATATTAATTGTATTTCTATACACTATCAGTAACAAATAAAAATGAAATTAAGAAAGTAATTCTATTCACAATAGCATTGAAAAGAATAAAGGACTTAGGAGTAAATTTAACAAAAATGAGCTCAATATTTGTACAATGAAAAATACAAACACTTTTGAATGAAATCTTAGAAAGACTTAAAAAGTAGAAACACATACTACGGATTAGATGGCTTAATACTGCTAAGATGGCAGCATACTTCAAAATGATCCTCAGATTTGATATGATCCTGTGTTAGTCAGCTTTCTGTCGATACATAAGGTGCAATTCTTGTACACTGTGGAGGTTCCAGTTCAAGACTGCACAGACCTACTCCTCCGGGTCACTGGTAAGGGTGCTGAAAGGCAATGGCGGGGAACACGTGGGGAAGCAGAACCACTTCCATCATGAGCCTGGAAGCAAGAGGAAAAGG